TCCATAAACAAAATAGTTTAACGGAATCGTTTATTAAACATCTACAACTTCTTGCTAGATTATGACTTATGAAAATAAAACTCCCAGGTTCTGTCCGAGGTCATGCCATATTACATGTTGCATCATTGGTTCGTATAAGACCAATTGCCTACTATCAATATTCATCTTTATAAATTTGGTCATGAACTTAATATTATCATCTACGAGTTTCGAGTTGTGCTGTTAATGTCTTTATTTCACCCCCACAACATAATAAAATATATCCCTAATGAAGATTTATGATTTATGTGGGTTTTGATTTACCATCTATTATTATGTATTTTTAACCTTTAACATATGATTTATTTACTGCATGTTTTATAGATTGTCATTTTGATTAAATGACTTTCCTAGATTTGGAAGAGGAAAAACTACATCATGAAAAACAACGTAAAATTTCTTGGAATAAAATAACTTTATCACACTTTGATCCCTCAGAGTCAATTTGGGCAAAATGTTGAAAAAATCATTCCAATTACCTAATTTATTTGTTGACACAAGAAAAATGACAAAGTCATACATTCCAGCAGAAAATATTCTAATAAAAATCGATGTTCCTAAATCTGTTGTAGAAAATGAATCTCAAATATGTCAGAAACACAGTCGATCAATTGATTCAAAGGACTCTGCACTTTGAAAAAGAAAGGTACAAGAGAAAAAAATCAATCAAGAACTTCGGAAGAAGTAATATTAGAAAATTTTGATCTGTAACACTCTGACCTGCATGTACTGAAATGCTACTAGAATAATTATACATTAACCGTGCACTTAGTAATTAACTATATTTTTTAGCTGAAAGTATAAAGATTTAACTTAAGAATTACCTTTTATGAAACAAATTTTATTACATGGACCATGGCATGCATGTGTTTATCAAGTGAATAAAAGGATTTAATTAAACATATATTTTTTATATATACAAAACATATAGTTTAATGTTAAGAAAATAAATAAAAATCACAACTTAATTTGTTAAAAGCGGAACCACTTTTTGAATAATAGCATAACAATAAATTATTTCAAAAGAAACAAAAAAAATAATAATAAATAAATAATTCTCCTTGCATATCTAACTACTTATAGAAAGATGAATAAAATCCACTGTAGTTGCAATAGTGTTCAGGACTTCTACTGTACCTAAACAATGATTTCACTGTAGATATCAGTCATGCCCATTTTTTCTTATTCAAAAGGACGGTGAAGTCATTTCCCCACGCAAACCCAGATACAAGTTTTCTTCTTCATTATCATCATTTTCTTCTCTCACTTTTTCTTCAATTCTTCTCTCATTTTTTCTGTGATTAATCTCTTCGTGCAAAATTCTCGTAAATAGAGAGGTAAATCCTGGCATGCCATTTTTCTTAGATTATGATTTTGTTTATTCAAGATTCTACGTGCAAAATTTTTTATTTCGAGTGAATAGAGAGGTATATCCTCGATTTTATCTGATAATTATAATTTTGTTTATTCGATTCACAATTTTGGGCTTTTGTGTGAATAGAGAGGTATATTCTTGATTTAATGTAAATTAAAATGCTTATTAGCTTGTTAATTCATTTATATCTATTGTGTATCTCATGCATTAGCAATCTTGACAGAAATCGTGAAATATGGCTTCTTGTAGCAATCTTGGTGCGGAGTTCCCGCACAGATTGTGTGGGGACTTTTTGCGTTTTAACATTGAATAATTTTGAAGGTATGGACTTATCTTATCTTAATCTCTAAATTTATGTGTTAGATATTTGAGTTTTCGTCATTTCATTAATTTTGGGTGTATGTGTTTTGTTTGTTGATGATTGTTCCGATGATGCCGTGAATAGATTTTGATATTTGCTGCAGAAAAAAGTCTTGAATTTTAATTTTTTTTTTTTAGAGTCAACTAGGGAAAAAATCTACCTTTTTATTTATTTTCAACTTTTTTTTTTGTTGGGACTCTTAATATGAGTTTATTCATACTTTATGCATATTAAGAATGTGTGTTTTCAGTTTGTATATCTCTTTATATTGAATTTTTGGCCATAAGATCAACAGAAAATAGAGAGGAAAAAACAAAAAAAAGAAGAAATATACATTAATTTTTTAGGCTATGGTTTGGCACCTGAAGCAAGAAAATGGAGGACTAAAGAAATTAGCAAGAAATCGATGAATGATTAGTTTAAGCATATAAGTTTGGTGAAAATGATTGAATTGCTCCAAGTATAAGGGGTTTGTTATTTTAGTTAATAGTTGCAAATGGTTTCTGTTAAGTTTTTAACTATTAGTTTAAGTAGAGCATAATAAGGTGATTGTGCAGACTATTTGAATCTCTATCTATGCCTATAAAATTCCCGTTGCTAAACTTTTTGGCAGTAATTAATTGAAAATGAACCAGCGGCACAATATGAATATATATTGCGTGTTTTTTCTCAATGTTGATGGCTGAACATTTCATTTTTTAGGGAGTTATTTCCACTTTTCACCCCTTGCTTATATAAATAAATATTCTCATTTTTGTTGAATTTTGGTGATATTAGTTCTCTTAATTACTTTGAGCATGCAAACACCTATAACCCGTGAAGTATGACTTCTTGTAGCAATCTTGGTGCGGAGTCCCCGCACAGACTATGCGAGGACTTCCGCGCACGGAATTGTTATGGACTCTGCATGACCGCGTGCAGACTCCCATAAAATTATAAATTATCTTTTACTTATATTCCCACAATTTTAAATCTAATTTTTACTAATTGTCAGAGAAAATTCATGTCAAAAAATTTAATTCAAACTTCAAAAGCATGTTAGGAATATGATAAGAAAACTAAAATCTCTACATCACTCTAATAAAGACATATTAAATACAATAATCGTGCAACGCACGTGGCATCGACTAGTATATTCACTAACGTGAATAGTTCATGCACAACCTTTTAGCAATGACTAACCAAGCATGCTATTATGTTTTTTCTATTTCGTGTGGTAAGCTTCAAAATAATTTTGTTTGATAGCTATCGACCACAAAATTTCACGAGATTTTAAAGTAAAATAGAAAACTCCTTATAATATGACATATCCAAAATCCAGCTTTTGTCGACCATATATGAGGTACTAAAATATTTTTACAAAAACCCCCCACAACGACTTAGTTTGGAAGATAAACCAGCATAGTTCACTTAAAATGACATAAAATTCTACAGATATCGAGTTGATAAGATTTCAAGTTTATTCAATAGCTAATCCATCAGACTATCAAAGTCCACTAGCTTCGTCCAAAAATATCAAGTAACGAATGGGTTATGAATTTTTGAATTCAAGGGCATAATCTAAAAATTGAAAAAAATGCAACACTAAATCTTATTGCTAATATTTTTGTGACAAATAATAATTTGTACGTTAGTTTTGGTAAACATAACTATCTCATAAAAATCTTCTCATAATAATTCCACAAATGATCTTCATAGAAATTCATTTATTTAAAAAACACAAACATTTCATGACCGAGTAAAAATATTAAGTCATTGGCTTCTCCATAGCATGTTGCATATTCATCCACTCCCAAGCAAATCAAATCAACCCGTAGGAAGTGAATTAACCCATAAATTTGAAACTTAATAGATATTATCAGCACATTTTATCATCAAATTAGAAAATTCAAACTATAGATTCCTACTCTCGCATGTAGATGGATTTCCGATATAATTTGATTTCTATAGAATTACTACAACATATAGAGTCGAAGAATAATCATTCAAACTATAATAGTATCAAAGGACCGTGCTCGAAGGTACCAATTGAGTCATACTTTAACGAAAATTCGTAAGTTAAAAATATAATAACCACTTGCACCTCTACTTACCTGAGTTTGAAGCTTTGAAATGGACGAAATTGGAGGGTGAAAGTTGTTTTCCTACGAAACCTAATAGTTAAAAAAAAATTGTCTCTCTCTTTTTTTCTCTCTCTTACTTTTAGAGATTTTTTCTTATTCATAATGAGTACCTCCTTTTTGTAAATTTTAAATAGATACAAATAATGGAAGGAATAAGAATGATTTAGGGTAAATGAAAGTTAATGAGGATTAAAGGAAAATTTAATGTTTCATTTCATGCAGTTATATGTATATCTGTGCAATACGATTTTTCTTTTTCTTTTCGAGGTTTCATATCTTACTTATCACCAATTAATGCAACTACTTAAAAATGGCCATTCATTTTTTTTTTCATTTTTTATTTTTTGAGGAAGATGAAATAAATTGGGTCTTTAACTTAGTTTTTCACTTGGCCCTTATACTTGTTTATTTCATAGAATAAGAAAATAACAATACAAATCTCCAAATAGAACTTTAAATCATATTTTACTTATAATTCAGTCCTTTTAAATAATAACGTGTACAAATCTAGTCTTGAAAATATTTATCATGCAAAAATAAATTTTCATTATCAGGTCCAATCTTTGGAAAACATTACATTCCGTCATACCATAAATAATTTTTCTTTTTGAAGGTAACATGCATGGTTGCTTGTTGAATTCTATTGGTTTAAATTTATTTAAGGCATATCGGACTAGTATTGGACTTTCATTTCTTATGCAGGCCGAGCATAAGGTTTTTCTATGGGCTAGGCTTGTGGTGCTAAATCATCTCATAAACAAATATAAGCTTAATTTAATTTAATTTTTCGGACTTCTATATTCCTTACACCTTCAACAAAATTTTGTCATTGAAATTTACCTTATTGTTGGGCAAAGAGTGTTGATGTCTTTAACTTCCACTTCTCTTTCCAAAGTAGCTTCGTCTACTCCATAATCTCTTTGTTCCGTAACTTATGCACCTTTTGATCCAGTATTACCATCGAAAATTTCTCAAAAGATAGATCTTTCCGTACGTCAGGAGATTGATAATTGACCACATGATCAGGATTATGCATATACTTCCAGATCATTGATATATGAATCACGTTGTGAACTATTGATAATTTTGGCAGCAAAGCCAATCAATAAACCACATTCCTAACACCATTACGTATTTCGAAAGGTATGATATAACGATGTCGTAGTTTGCCTATCTTGCCGAACCTAAGTACACTCTTTATTGGTGCCATCTTTAGAAAGACTTTCTCTCCAAATAGAAACTCAAAGTCTTTTTTTCTAGTATCTGCATAGTCACTTTGTCTGTCTTGCACAGCTTTTATCCTAATACGGATCTTATCAACGACTTCAACTGTCATTTCACTAATATATGGTCCCAAAACTCTATTTTCTCTAATTTCATTCCGATGAACATGTGATTTATATCTTCTACCGTAGAAAGCTTCATACAATGCCATTTCAATAGTTGTCTGAAAACTGTTATCATATGTAAATTCCACCAAAGGTAGATACAATTCCCAATTGTCTTCCAAATCCAGAACACATGCTCTTAGCATATCTTTCAAATTTTGAATGGTCCTTTCAGATTAACCATCGAATTGGGGATGATACCCTATACTGAAATTCAATTTTGTTCCCATAGCTCCTTGTAAGCTCTTCCAAAACTAAGGCGTAAATCTCATATCTCTACCAGGCATAATAGAGACATGAACACCATGCAATCTTACAATTTCTCTAATGTACAACTGAGCTAACTAATCTAGACTAAATGTCATTTTCACTGGAATAAAATGAGCAGACTTGGTTAGACGATCCACTATTATCCATTTAACATTATGTCATCTTGTTGACTTCAACAATCCTACCACTAAGTCTATTACGATATTCTCCTACTTCCATTCAAGTATATTCAATGGAATTAACAACCCTGGATTTCTCTAATATTCCACTTTAACTTGTTGACACATTATGCATTTTATCACAAGCAGGTTTATACTTTTTTCATATTCCTCCATCAAAACATATTGAGACCCATCAAAATGTATTTCAAAATTCTCGATACATTTTCGTACTACCAGGATGTATGGTGTATGGGGGTGAAATCAGCCTCTTCCAATATTTCATTCCTCAAAGCTTCATATTTAGGCACACAAATTCTTCATTTAACATTAGTACCCCAATCCGAAGCTATTCCAAAATCCTTTCTCTTATCAGTACAAATTTCATTCTTGATCTTCTGCAAAGATGGGTTTTTACCCTATACTTCTATGATCCAATCTCTAAGAATGGGTCGAACAATAAAAGTTGCTAAATAAGTTGTTGCTCTGGAAGTTGCTAAATGAACTGTTGCTCTAGTATGGTATCCATTTAGATTCACAAATTCTCCAAGTCTTTGATCAACTCTATCTGAGTAACAGGTAATGTTGCCAATTGTTCCATTGATTTTCTACTTAGAGTATCAACAACAACATTAGTCTTACCTTGATGGTAATAAATAATGCAACTATAATCATTTACTAATTCCAACCATCGTCCCTGTCTCATATTCAATTCCATCTGTGTGAAGAAATTTTTGAGGCTCTTATGATCCATGTAAATATTGTAATTTCCTCCATATAAATAATGATACCATATCTTTAATGCATGAACTACTGTCGCAAGTTCTCGATCGTACGTCGGGTAATTCCACTCATGTTGCTTTAATTACCTGACGCATAAACAATCACTTTTTCGTGCTGCATTAGTACACATCCTAAATCTTGTTTGGATGCATCGCTACATATAACAAACCCTTCTGACCCTCGAATATAGTTAACATGAGTGTTGTAATCAATCGTTGCTTCAGCTCCAGAAAGCTTTGTTCACACTTATCTATCTATTGAAACTTTACTCCTTTTTTTTGTCAATTGCGTCATTGGTCTAGCTATTTTGAGAATTCTTCTATAAATCTTCGACAGTACCCAACCAATTCCAGAAAATTTCGAACTTCACTAGCATTAGTCGGTGTATTCCAATTAGTTACTGCTTTCACTTTTATGTGATCTACTTCAATTCCTTGGACAGCAACTACATGACGGAGGAGTCCAACACACTCAAGTCAAAATTTACACTTTTAAATTTGGTGTATAACTTTTCGTTACACAATATTTTTAACTCTATTCTAAGATGTTTTTCATGTTGATCTTTACTCTTGGAGTGAACAAAATGCTATCAATGAAGATTATGACAAATTAATTCAAATACTGATGAAATACATGATTCATTAAATCCATGAATACTACTGAAGTATCTCTCAACCCGAACGGCATAATTGTGAACTCATAATGTCCATAACGAGTTTTGAAAGTCATCCTGGGTATATCACTAACCTTAACCTTCAATTGATTATATTCAAATTGTAAGTCGATCTTGGAAAATACTTTATCCTCTTAATTGATCAAACAAATCATCGATTCTGAAGAGAAGATAACTATTCTTGATGGTCAAATGTTTCAACACTCGATAGTTGATACACATCCACATATTTCCATTTTTCTTCTTTACAAACAATACTGGTGCATCTCATGGAGATACACTTGATCGAATAAAATTAATGTATATCAATTCTTGTATTTAAATTTTCGACTCTTGAAGTTCCTTTGGAGCCATTCTGTATGGAGCTTTAGATACTGGTGTCATTCCAAAAATTAGATCTATTGTGAATTTCATTTATCTATCTGGCAGAGTACAAGGTAGATATTTTGAAAACATATCCATAAAGTCTTGTACCACTAGTACCTCCTCAATCTTTATCATTGCATTTTTTCTCATGCGATGTTAACTAGTAATCCTTGATATGTTTCTTTTCTCAGCATCTTCTTGGCTTGCAAAGTAGACACCAATCGGAGATGAGGTTTTGCCTCTATTTTGGGGAAAGAAAATTGCTCTCTTCCTCATTTTTAAAAGGACACTTCACTTTCTCCACAACGAATGGTTGTATAATTGCATCAAAACCAATCCATGCCCAGAATCATATCAAACTCTTTCATTTCTATCATATACAAATTAGCTTTTAATGTTTTTTCCTCAATTTAAAGACTCACTAACCTAATTAATAGATATGTATTCAATGTTCTGTCTGAGGAAATGCTAACTTCTAGTGTAATCTCGGCTCATTGCAAGTAATACTAGATTTAGCAATAAAAGATGTTGATACAAAAAAATGAGTAGCTCTCGAGTCAAACAGTACATAAGTAGGTGTATCAGATATCAGTAAAACACCTGCTATTATGTTTATATTCTCATCCACATCATTTGGAGTCTAAAATCTCGTGTTTTTTCCTTTTTGTTTGGTCATTGTTATCATCCTTTTTCTGAGTAAATAAGGGACAATCCTTAGCAATATGTGTTGACTTTCAAGGCATTCTTCCCATACAAGCATTTACTACGATGAGGTTTACCACACTTAGGGAGTGGCGCTACTGCAGTTACTATGGCCTTACTGGTACTAGATCCGATATTAGTTTTCTTATTTTACTATTCGCCTTTTTCTTTGTCTTGACCATTTCACTTTCATTTTCCAATTTTCCCTTCTATTTTGCTGGCTGTACAATTGACTATATTGCTTTGCATTAACCTTATGATACCAAATAGCTTGAGCTTGTTCCAATATCTTACGGTATGATGTGGCATAAAAATCATGCTTAGGTCAGGGTTTAACCCTTACATTAACCTTTGAGTTTTCTTAATTTTCGTATCAACCAGGTCGTGGAGCATATCTTGAAAGTTGATCGAATTTTCGCCAATAATAAGTCGGGGACATATTACACTTTTTAAGCTAAAGGAATTTGCTCGCCCTAAAATCTATTAGAGACTGAGTAAAATACTTGTAATATTCCGACATTTCGTAGAATAGAATTTAAATTCTGTATGTTATAATTTAATATTTTGAAAGTTTAGGGACTAAAGTGTATATAAAGTAAATTTAAATTTAATTTGGGTTAAAATGTAGATATTGACGGAGTGACAATAAGTATTTGAATATCGAACTCGTTGGGTAGATCGTAATTAATCATGCATATTAGGCTCAAGAAAAATTTGATTCGGATAATCTAAGCCTAAGATATTGATGTTTAAAGAAATTGATACTTTATAATATTTTATTAAATTGGTTTGTGTCATTAAGTCGGCCACGTGTGTTCACAATAAAATTGATTCGAATTTATATATTATATAACTCCCCATTTCCAACATATAAACTAATCCAAATAGTGTAACTCCCCACCTCTATAGCCACGTTTCGCGTGCATAAAGAAAGAAAAGGTTAACTGCTCACCCTATATTCTGATACCTAAAAGGTGGCCATGACTTTATCATCTTGTCGCACATGTTGCCACTTTAACCACACACTCCTATACAGTATATACACACACGTACACAGCAGATTCATTTGGGTATTTGTTTTCATCGTAAATAATATACAAAAATGGTCCCATAATTTTCACCATGGCTAAGAAAAATTAGAAGGTCAGGAACGTGATTTTGGAGTTCATCTTTCAAAACTTTATTCAACTTTACGAGGTAGGATATGAGGTGCAGTATTTTTTTTATTTCCCATTTAATTATTTTGGCTACATGTTGACGAATTTCATACTCATGAAAGTTAGTTATGATATGAATGCTATGATATGAATGATATGGTCATTCCGGTACAATGAAATGAAATGATATGATATGATGTGAACTCTTACCGAATTTAAAGTTATGCGATGGTATGGTATTCTGACACTTGTGTTAAAATTATTTTTCGGGATCGCACCATTAATCTGATATCCTACTGAGTATTCCCATGTACTCACCCCTTTTTCCCTACCTTACAGGTTAATTCGGGTCGTGTCGGAGTGCGGTGGTTTGATGGTGTGATTGTGCCTCATTTCACGAGACGAAAATCTAAAATCTAGCACATAACTTTTTTTTATCTTTAATTTAGTTGCCATAGACACTTATGTTTAATTTTATTATTGGACATGTTTGTTAAAATTTAGTTGCATGTTGTCTAGTGAATTAATATTTCCATTTCTTTAAATGTTAAAATTGCACTTTGATTGTAAATACTTAAACATGCAGAAAAAAATGAGTAGACGTAACTTTTGGAACCAAAAGACATAACTTACCCAAGAATAAATGAATTAAATATTATTCCTTGTCAATACTTGATGAAGCATAAAATAATCTAATTTTACGTGCTACTGTTATTTCATTTTCAGTAAAGTTTGAATTAAATATTATTTCTTTCACCAACTTCACTGATGAAAGATAATGGAAATGTCTAGACTGTCAAAGTCACTTCAAGTAATAAATGCTAACTGGTAGATATATTCAACCGTGCTGGAGTAAATTGTAATATGTTCCATAGCCTTTATGGTGTAAATTGTAATGTGTTTGGATTTCTTAAATAAATAAGGCAGCTTTTGGTACTGTTATTTCATTTGGGGCAGTGTCCCACACATTGAAGAACCAGAAAAGCATATTATACTTTCAAGCATGTATTTAAAAAAAAAATGTAGAATACATGTTC